GTCTGAGAGCCTCAGTGCTGTGCTTATCACCCATCGCGCCACCAGGGAGGGCCCTGGCGTCGCCATTGTAATGAACTCTCTGGGCTAAACGACAAAGACAGACTCAGAGATAGCTTAATTTTCCTTGAAAATTTTGGCCATGTGTACTCATTTCTTAAAATATTTATGCATCCAGAAGTGGGGTGCAGGCCAGAGGTGCAGGGGCAGTGAGAGGATTCACCAGAGACAGAGTGGGGAGCAGGACAGGCAGATGGACGAAGTACCCTGCTGAGGGGAGCAGCAGAGAGATGGGAGAGGGCTGCTGTGCCCTGTGGGTCACTCGCTGGCCTGTGACTTGTGCTACAGGGGCCAGCTTCATAGTGCTGTGTTTTTCCCGTTGTGCCACCAGGGGGGGTTCCCCAAGTCTTAAAGGTGCGCATCCTTGAGTCCTGTGACAACAGGACTCTGGGTCTCGGCCTCTCCCATCTTGTCCCACGGTTGCCCCTAGGTTGCGAAGACTCCCCTACTCTAGGGGAGGCTCGGCCCGGCATTCATCGGCCTCGGCCTTCGGGGTGTGACTGGGCCACCTCAATATGTCTGAAGGGCCAGGGGCCTCGTGAAGGGGGTGGCAAGGAAGCTGGGAGCCACAGCAAGGGGAGCCGCTGGGGAGACCTGCGGAGCAGGGCTGTGCGAGGCCCTGGGGCACATCCAGCTGGGGTCTCCCACGCCCCCGCCCACCTGGTGGACTGTCCAACACTAGGGGCAGACCAGGCTCCCCTCACCCAGCAGAGATGGACCTCACCCCAGCTCCCGCTCGGGCCCAGCGCTCACCCTCGCACAGCAGGCCCGGCCTGGTGCCACGGGCATCCTCAGGGCGTCTGTCCCCAGGCTGGGCGCAAGAGGCCAGGGCTGCCCCCTGCGCTGTCCAGGACAATGTCCTCCCTCGTTGGGGTGCCGCGCCTGCCCTCCCAGCCCATCTGAGCCCCGGGGGCCTGGTGGGCGGGCCCGGACCCCGGGTGAGCTTCTTCCCACTGTGCTGTGGATTATCGCCCCGAGATGCTGTGTCCCCCCC